ATGGGACTTTATATCCTTATCGGTAATTCCAGGGTGCAAAATACATCAGGAGGATAGGACAGGTCATGTTGGCAGAGGACTGGTATAGAACCAAATGAAGTTAAAAATCTTAATGAACCAAACTATACTATATCATCTTTTTGCATAGTAATTCCAAGTTCTAATAAGAATATAGCAAAGCTATATTACTGACCACATGACCAGGATGGTGACAGTGACTGTGAAATAATTACAGAGATAGGAGAGGCTATAAAAGTAAAAAGCTCAGAAATGATGCGAGATTTCAACTACCCTCATACTGACTGGGTACACAGCTCCGCAGGTTGAGATGCAGAGATAAGAGTTCTTTGATACTTTAAATGACTGGAGCAGCTAGTCTTAGAATTCACAAGAGGAGAGGCAATTCTTTAGTCCTATGCTGATCACAGGATCTGATCCAAGAGGTGACTATAGGTGGACCACTTGGTAATAGTGTCCATAATATAATTCATTAAACTTTTCTGTGATGATGAAAACACTACAGCAGCCCAACACTGCAGCATTTCATTTCAGAAAGGGGGACTATACAAAAATGAAGGGGTTAGTGAGATAGAAATTAAAAGGTACAATACCCTAAGTAACATTCCTGCACAGAAACATTTTAAAGACACTATAATAAGTGCCAACTTATTGTAATAAGCTCAGTTTAAATGTATACCCCCAAATTAAAGAAACATGGTAAGGAATCAAAAAAGTACCACCCCAGCTAAGCAACCAAGTAAAAGAAGCAGTGAGAGACAAAAAGGCAGCATTTTAAAAGAGAAAGTTAAATTGTACATCAGAAACAGGAAGCCTGCTAAACAACCAATGGGGCCACTGTAAAATTGAGATGCTAAAGGAGTATTCAAGGACAAGGCCACGGCGGAGAAATTAAATGAATTAAATGCATCAGCCTTCATGGCTGAGGATGTGAGGGAAATTCCCAAATCTGAGACATACTTTTTAGGTGGTAAACCTGAGGAACTGTCCCAGATTGAGATGTAATTAGAGGAGGTGGTTCGATTAAACAGTAATAAGTCACCAGACCCAGATAGCATTCATCCAAGAGTTCTGAAGAAACTCAAATGTGAAATTGCGAAACTATTAACTGTGGTTTGTATCCTATCCTTTAAGTCAGCTTTTGTACCAAATGACTATAGGATAGCTAATGTAACATCAATTTTTTAAAAGGGCTCCAGAACTGATCCTGATGACTACAGGCTGGTAAGTCAAACTTCAGTACCAGGCAAACTGAAAGAAACTATAGTAAAGAACAGAATTGTCAGATAAATAGATGAACATAATTTGTTGTGGAAGAGTCAACGTATTTTTTTTAAAGAAAAATCATGCCTCACCAATCTACTAGAATTTGTCTGAGGGTCAATCTACTAAAATTTTTTTAGGGTCAACACATATGTAGACAAGGGGGATCCAGTGAACATAGTTTACTTAGATTTCCAGAAAGCCTTTCACAGGTCTTCCACCAAATGCTAAAAAGCAAAGTAAGCTCTCATGGGATAAGAGGAAAGGTCCTCTCATGGATTCATAACAGGTTAAAAAATAGGAAGCAAATCATAGGAATAAATGGTTAGTTTTGAGAAAGGAGACAGGTAAATACCGTAAAATCTCGAGTATAATGTGCACCTATGTATAATGCGCATCTGCCTTTTAAAGGTCAAAATTCTTGAATAAACTAAACTCTTATCTATAATGCGCACCCCCATTATACTCAAGATTTTAAGGTATGCATCGGAAGGAAGGCCCCCTGCCCAGCTGAGCTCACGCCTGCCGCAGGGTCCCCCTGCCCAGCTGAGCTCATGCACGCTGAGCTCTCACCTGCTGGTGGGAAGGGAGATCTCCCCTGCCCAGTTGCCAGCGCGCTGAGTTCGTGCCTGCTGGGGGAGCATCCCCTGCCCAGCTGTCCGCATGCCGATGACTTTAGACTCTTAAAATCATGAAAAAAACAAACTCCTATGTATAATGTGCACCCATTATACAGGAGAATGGGAGGGAAGGAACAGGAAAGAAACCTGCCCCCCGCTCAGCTGCCAGCGCGCCGAGCTCGTGCCTGCTGGCCCCTCTTCTCCAGTCCAGCCCAGCCCAGCCCAGCCCGTGCCTGACCCCCTTCCCGCCCAGCTCGTGCCTGCCAAGGGTGAATTTAAAACTTTTTTTAAAAACCTCCTATGGATAATGCGCACCCTGATGTTGACGTTAAAAAAATGGGAAAAAAATTGCACACTATACTCGCAACTTTATGGTAGTGGTATTCCTGAGGAGTCTGTACTGGGACCAATCTTATTCTGTATATCCATAAATGATCTGGAAAAGGAGGACAATCACTGAGGTGGCAAAATCTGCAAATGATGAAAAATTGCTCAGGACACTTAGGTCCATGGAAGACTAAGGATGGAAGTGACTAGTAAACTACCTGATAAGCAAATGCTTATCAGGAAGTCAAGAAGGAACTCGACTAGTCAATAGGCACTTCCACATTCTGCCTTTGAAATGCAGCACACCGCGTGGAACCCAGGGCCAGCGGAAATCCAGCTGACTCCGGGCTCCATGTGGTTCTTCTGCTCTGAAATGCACAAGAGCCCCAGTTGGGGACTCTTGTACATTTCAAAGGTGGAACACCTCACTGAGTCCCCAGCTGATCCCGGGCTCCAAGCAGCGCTGCCACTTTGAAATGCTGAGAGAAGCATGTCAAAGTGGCAGGGAGCCCAGGTTCCACATTCTGCCTTTGAAATGCAGCACACCGCGTGGAACCCAGGGCCAGCGGAAATCCAGCTGACTCCGGGCTCCATGTGGTTCTTCTGCTCTGAAATGCACAAGAGCCCCAGTTGGGGACTCTTGTACATTTCAAAGGTGGAACACCTCACTGAGTCCCCAGCTGATCCCGGGCTCCAAGCAGCGCTGCCACTTTGAAATGCTGAGAGAAGCATGTCAAAGTGGCAGGGAGCCCAGGATCAGTCGACGGCACTGCCGCTTTAAAACACTGCAGGGAGCCTGGGCTCTGCGCGGTGCTGCTGCTTTAAAATGCTGCTACAGTGTTTCAAAGGGGCAGAGCTGCATGGAGCAGGGACCCCGGGCTTCATGTGGTACGGTGCTGCTGCTTTAAAATGTTTCAAAGGGGCAGAGCTGCATAGAGCAGGGACCCCGGGCTTCATGTGGTGCTGCTGCTCTGAAGTACCCCTGACAGAGGCAGTGGCGGGGGGGGGGAAGAGAGTGATTAGTCGACTATCCTGTCGTCTGCGATTCCCCCCCAGTTCCCTCCCAGCACCATCTCAGCAGGAGACAGAGGCGGCAGGGGCAGCGGGGAAACGGCATGAGCAGGGATTGAAACAGTCCCACTCGTGTCTGTTCCACTGCTGCTCCTCTCCTTTTGAATGTACAAGAGCCAACTGTGGCTCTTGTAATTTCAAAGGAAGAGGCACAGAAGGGAACCCGTGCCAGTGGGGACTGCTTTGCAG